TTCTGCAGAAAAATCAGCTGATAGCCTTTTGGGGGTTCCGTTGTATGTGACTCTTTATTTTTCTCTTGCTGACTTTAGAATTCTCTCTTTATCTTTAACTTTAACCATTTTAAGTCTGATATTTCTTGGTCTGGTTCTCCTGGGGTTCATCTTGTTTAGGACTCTCTGTGTTTCCTGTACCTGGAAATCTATTTCCTTCTTCAGCTTCGGGAATTTTTCATCCATAATTTCATCAAGTACATTTCTACCCCTTTCTCTCTCTCTCTTCTCCTTCTGGGACCCCTACAGTGCAAATGTTAGTATGTTTGATGTTGTCTCATAAGCCCTTAAACTATCCTCATTTTCAAAAATGCGTTTTTATTTTTGCTCTTCTGATTGCATGATTTACATTCTTTTATCTTCCAGATCACTTAGGCATTCTTCTGTATCACCTAATCTTCTATTACTTCCCTCTAGTGTATTTTTCATTTCAGTTATTGTATTCTTCAGTTCTGACTGGTTTGTTTTTATACTTTCTAGTTACTTGCTAAAATTCTCACTGTGTTCATCTATTCTTTCCCCAAGTTCAGCTAGTATTCTTATTACTAAAGCTTTGAACTCTTTATCTGGTAAATTAATTATCTCTCTTTCATTAGGATTTTTTCAGGTTTTTTTTTCTTGTTCTTTCATTTGAAACATATTCTTCTGTCTTCTCATTTTGTTTAACTTTCTCTGTCTCTATGAAGTTAGGTGAGAGTTACCTATCTGACGCTTCTGTGGGAGCATCCCTATACAGTCTACATGTGCCCAGTGGCTATGGTAGGAGAGCCAGATCTGACGTGAGCAAGAGTCACATCTTCCCCCAGGGTGTGCTGGCAGCTATCAGCTTGGTAGAAGGTGGTGCTGGAGATGGAAGGGCTAGAGCCAGAGCCAGGGCTTCTTCTATGCTCAGCGGCCATCACCGCCTCACTGGGGGCAGAGTTGGTGCCCAAGGTACTGGAGCAGAAGCCCTGAAGGTCAGGTCCGAGCTGGTTCCTTTCCCTCTAAGTGTGTGCACCACCCCCCTGGCAATGGCACCTCTGCCACAGTGGAGAGCAGCACTGGAGCAACAGGTACTAGAGGGGGCCTGCGGGACAGGCCAGAGTAAGTGCTGGGACAGTCCCAGCAAGTTAGTCTGAGCCCCAGGCAATTGTCAATCTGCTGCTTCCTCGTGTGCATGCTGGTAATGGCTGCCTTCCCCTTGTTCAGAGGCAGGGTTGGGTCCGAGGCAGCTCCATTCTCTCTAAGTGTGAACACTCTCCTTGGCAGCAGCAGCCTTTGTGGCAGTGGAGAGCTGCACCAGAGCAAGAGAGGCTGTAGTGGGCACCCGGTGCAGGCTGGGGAGCAGGCTGTGGCAGTTGCGGGAAACCAGCCAGAGCTCCAGGTAGTTTTCAGTCTGTTTCCTCCGCCTTGTTCCCTGGGAGTAAGCAAGTGTGTGCATGCTCTTCATGAGTGGAGTGTCAGTTTCTTACAGCCCTCTGGTAAGTCCCACTGGTTTTCAAACCAGCTAAGGGGACTCGTCTTCCCAGAGTCAGGCCCAACATGTGGCTTGAACCCATCACTACCCACAGAGGATCCTTGAGGCTGTGATATCCCCTGCCTCTTGTGTGTCCCCTCCTTGGGCACTTGTCCCAACTAGATCGCTTTTCCTCCCTTCCTGCCCAACTCTGTGCAACTCTTTCTTTATAGCCTTGGTTGTAGAAGAGCCTTTGTGTCAGACTCCAGGTTGTTTTCAGCAGGAGTTGCTTCATATGTAAGATATGTTTTGATGTGTTTGTGGAAGGAGGTGAGCTCAGCATCCTCCTACTCTGCCATCTTGATCTCCCTCCCATCTGCCCCTGACTTTCCACAGGAGACAAGTAAGATGATCATCCTACATTTTTCCCCTTTGGACTTCCTCAGAGTATTTCCATACTAAAAGGTTGTTGTTATCTTTGCTGTTTTAGTGGCGATGATACTGTCTAAGACTTAAATTTGTAACAATCTACCTATAGCTGAAGAGTCCAAATCCAAGCTAAGGAAGGAGAGGTGATGAAGGTCAAGGAATAATGAGAATGTCCTGAGATGGATCTCTGAGGTTTTCATTTTCACAGATGCATTTTTGTGCAACGTGTATAAGTCATCTACCATTAGTTGTAAATCAATGTGACATTAATTTAGCCATTCATCCTTTTTGCTGCTGCAGAACTTAGAGCTCCTTCCTGGGCTATGGCTTTAAGAAGGCAATGCAAACACAGATATAGAAGTAAACTAATTTTGCAATAGAGATAGAAAGATTTAGAAATTTTAATATTCTTAAGAGACTATTTGATTTGTGTTGAGAGGGAGCTGACTTGATTTTCTTAGAGGCTCTAAAGAAGAGTGAATATGAATGATTGGGCAAGCCAGCATCTTTATAAAGGTGGTTTTTAAATTGCATTGCTTGGAGTGTTTACCATTTATTTACTTGACTTTTGCCCTTGCATGAAAAACCAAAAGGAAATATGTCTTACTTTGGTTTAAGAAGCTGGCGACGTGGTGAATGGGGAGTTAGAACTTAGGTATTATCTATCCCAGATTCAGGAAGTCAGGGAGATGAGGTTATACGAATGAAAACTTGTTTTCAAGGTTCCCTCCACTCTGAAAATTGGGGTTTCGCATGAGAAGTTTTAGTCCCAAAATAAAGGATTGGGAAGTGCAAATGTTGTGTAAATGAGAGATCTTTCTCTTTTTCCAACTTGGTACTCCTTGATTGAAAATCTTAAATTATATTTATTGATGAGTTAGGATTCACTTCAGAGCATGTTTAAAATTCAAAATGTGACTTGATTTTTAAATCTTTGATTTACATACTTTCAGGAACCCATTTATTATAGAAATCAAGAACAGCTGTGTTCTCCCTAAGGTTGATTGTTTCAGTCAAATCCTTTTAAAACACGAATTAAGAAGATTAGGATTTAATCTTTGTTTCTTCCAACAACAACAAAAAATCTCATCATAGAGTTAATATACCTCCTAGTCCAGAATGTGTTATCAGAAAGTACATATTCAGTACTGTCTACTTTTTAATCAATGGTATATTTATAACTTTTAGATTATTTTGTAGTTACGTCAGAAAAACTGAAAGATTTGCTCTTTTTATTTTTCCAAATTCACTGAATTTAGGAAGTTATAGGGTGGTGAACCTATCACTGAGCTATTTGGTGAGTATTTTTGCCGCAAGGTACTAGAAAGACAAGAACCATCACCAAAAGTAGGAAGAGGTAACTTGTGGGTTAGCTATTATACAATGTCTTGGTAAGAAATTAAGCACCAAGTAAATCAATAACGATGGTACGCAAGTTTTGGAGAAGGTATTATAACAAAATGTTAGCATTAAAGAAACATTTGCAACCTACGAAGCCTAAACTATTTTTAAAAGCTCATATGGGCAGCTGAAGATGTATTTGTCCCATGTGAATACTAGAGGTGGGTGGGGATAAAACAAGTAACTTGCCATATCAAAGAGACTATGGCATACATGGAAAGTGTCTTTTAGAAATAGGAAAAAATCCAATCAAGGAGAATGGGGAAGCTTATACATTTAGCAGGTCATGTGCGAACTGTCATTTAGGCTGGTTGAAAAAAGAAAAATTGGCGAAATTCTTTAAAATCAGTCATAAGTTTTTAAGTTACTCAAAAGCAGGCAGTTTACTGGGTCTATTTGGTGATGATGGTGCAACAAACTTGACAGAAAAATAATAAACTTTAATGATCTATTTGTCTAATACAAGAAGATATAAGGGAACATGCTATCTCAATAATTTGTCCCCTGAAATTGATGACCAGGTTCAACTGTAATAAATGAACAGATAATCTAGGTCCAATTAACAAATTAAATATAGACAGTTCATCAGAACTATATAGCATCCTTCTATATTTCGAAGGAACTCAAAGTAAGGTTTTAGGTCTGGACTAATAAAGCACTTAAGTATAAGTTAGATTGACATGTATACACTGCTATATTTAAAATAAAGCACCTTCCCATGAAAAAATAAAAATAAATAAAAAATAATAAATTAATAACATGCCATTTCTGTGAGGTTTGGAAATCTTTTTTTCTACTTGATCAGTAGTATATATTCAGCAATATGAGTTTAAGTAAGGTTAAAGGTTATCTTGTGGGAGTAAAATTTGAATTCAGAATTGTACACTGTTAGATAAAGGATATTTCTGAATCAGGAAAGGGCAGTGAATTTATAAATCTAAGTCATGCCTATACATCTGTTAACCTAAAACCTTATGCTTGATTCAGATTTTGTTGTAGCAAAATATTGATTTATTCTGGATTCCTACTGTGAGATGTGTTGTGAAAGTTCAACATATTACCATTTCCTTATGAGTACTTGCAATCATGATAAAAGCATAGAATGTTATTTCAGCCATTGATGAGAACATTACATACAGATAGGATCCCAAGTAAAGAAGAAAAAAAGGACTTGTAGATTCTTGGGTCTTTTGTGCTCTGTGTTGTTTATATGGTGGTTTAGAAGTATAGGTGCAGTGATTAGGATGTCCAAGTTGGAGAGAGAGGAGATTTAAAAGGTAACATTTTGCTGATGGAATGTAAGAATTTTAACAACTCACCTACCTATAGCTTAGATGAGGTATTCTCTCATTATCACTACCATTGCATTAATGTGCAAATTGTGTATATTCAGCTGCTTTATTCTAAAAAGAGTCTGGCCCTTTGGTGTGCACCAGAGACAACATTTGCTATAGGAGATTGTGATCCTTAGCAGGATCAGCTAAGCCCACTTAGTGTGGGTGATCCAATAGAATATGGACTAGTTGGCCATTTGGGATACAGTTGTTCTAACAAAGCACATGCGGAGGGTCAAGGGAGTTTGTATGCTTTTTTTTTTTAAATGTGGTATTGTCATGTGATTTATTTTCCTTCATTTAAAAACTTGATGCAAAATGTTTGTGCTCTTTCCTTTCTTTCTCTCCCCGCCCCCCCTTAGAATAATATAGCCGATCCAGAAGAACTGTTCACAAAATTAGAACGCATTGGAAAAGGCTCCTTTGGAGAAGTGTTCAAAGGTATTGATAACCGTACCCAGCAAGTGGTTGCTATTAAAATCATAGACCTTGAGGAAGCCGAAGATGAAATTGAAGACATTCAGCAAGAAATAACTGTTTTGAGTCAGTGTGACAGCTCATATGTAACAAAATACTATGGATCATATTTAAAGGTAATGTGTACGCTGGATTATTTAAGTCATAAGGTATTTTCATTATAAGTATTTCTTTTTTTTTAACTCTGTTTTTCGAAAGGCAATGTCTTAAATTAGGATTTGACAGCCTTTGGCCTCCAGACAGAACTCAGCTCCATTTGTAGTGCCAAAATAGGCTGGTTTTAGATTTAGCAGCTGTATCCTGAATGCATCCCAGTACTCAGCTGCAACATTTTTCCACACCTGAACTTTTGGGTTGATAGAGGAACAGAAAGGCAGCTGAGCCTTGAGACATATCCTTTGCCTGGAAAGAGCTTTCTCCCTGGGCTTTTACACATTATTCTCAATGGTCCAGTCTGTCTCAACCTCAGAATTGATGGCATATGTAAGCATGTCACTATTCCATTGAGTTATGGTGGTTATTTACACATCTCTCTCTCCCTCTAGGTTGTAAGCTTCTTGACAGCAGGGAGTTTAGTTCAACCCGTCTTGGTTTTCACATCACTTAGCACAGAGCATGGCACATCTTAAGTACATGATAAATATTTGTTGAAATGGAATTAAATAGATTAATATCTGTTCCCCCCCACCAAAAAAAAAGTTGGATTTTTAGTTTCTAGGATTATGGAATTAGCAGACACCTGAAGTTCCAGCAGATGGAGTTATTACTGCATCACAGAAAACTCTTTGGTGACTAAAACCCGAGTTCTTGGGTTCCATATTTATAGAGTCAGGATTTGTGTCTATTGAAATATAAAACAACACATAATTAGAAAAATCTAGCTTAGAGTTTAAATTATCTTAAAATTTAAAAAATGTATCCCCATATTGATATTTTTTAAAGGAGGGCAGTATTAGTTAGATCTTTGATTTTCAGAGCTTACAAGGGGGAAGGTTTTGTTTGTTTGTTTGTTTGTTTGTCCATCTATCTCTAGGCCAAAAGGGTGTGTTTATAACCCATCAGGCTGTTGGCCTGCACAAAAATTGATGCTGTCTTTTTATGTTCTGCTGATCAAATATACCCTAGGATAAACTATCTATATTAGTTAATACTGATATAGAAATTCATCGATTTCCCTGGCTTTTTACAGAGCCTAACCTTTTTTTTTTTTTTTTTTTTGGCTGCGCTGCACGACTTACAGGATTGAACCCAGGCCCCCTGCAGGAGAAGCGCAGAGTCCTAACCACTGAACTGCCAGGGAATTCCCCACAGAGCCTAATTTATTCTAATAGTACGTGAATTAGGTGACTGTGGCATTAATGCATAGTAGAATGAATCATTAAATAGCCAAACAGTCACTATGTGTCACACACTGTACTAGGTTATGGAGATGTAAAAGTGAACAACTCCTGCCATTAAAGAGCTCACAGTCTCATATTGCACTAAAATAGTGTAGATTTTGTGATTGAATGTGTACAAGGTACAGATGAGGCATAAGTAAGAAAATGGTCACCTCTACCCTTTTTTTCCATGATGGTATGAAGGAAAGGCTTCCAAAAGGAGGTGATACTGCTGGTAGCTCCTATACAATATACTTTTAAGTGTTAGCCATTACTCTATTTTACTGTATACCTAATTACTTGATTCTTTGTGGTTCACTTTGCTTTTATATTCTTTCCTAAAAAGCTTATTTAGTGGGTCAGATTCCTTTTTAGGAATCCTATGGGGGTGGTCATTCAGTCTCAGTGGTTTTAAGTCTCCCTTCTAATTTCCATAGCAGGCGGGGTTGTAGGCAGCCCAGGGAATTTGTTGTTGTTGGTGGTGATGTGTGTGTGTGTTTTGCTTATTCTGGTTTACTCTTTCTGGATTGAATCCTTGTAATTCCAGACCCACTCTAGAGCAAATCTGAACACTTGCTATTTTTAGGCACCTGTATCAGATAAGCTAGTTTTGGTGACTGACTTATATTAAAGAAGCCCTATTTAAAATGCGCTATTGTATATTATACTGAAAATGGGTACTGACATGGTATTGAGTTTTATTGTTTGCTTACAACCTTTCTTTATTCATATTCAGTACTCACATGGAAAATGAATTATAACTCTGTTTTTATTATTTATTCCTAAGATTTCACATTTAAAAAAATTTTCCTCGTAGTGTACATGTACTGGTCACCCAAAAAATACTTAATCTTTTAATAAATCCAACTGATAGTTTGTTTTCTCCAAATCTTGATTGTTGAATGTTCTCAGGCCAGTTAGTGATACAAAACTGTTATCCAAGATGTCTTCTTACAGAATTAAACTGCATTATTTTTATCTCGTTTACCCGTCATTAATTAAAATACATGATGAGAAAGCCTACTTTGAAGAACATGTTACTTCATGATAAAATTGTAGAAATTCACAGATGGCTGCTATTGATTACATTTGTATCTAGATTATCTGTACACACACATATTATCTCTATATGGATATACATATATATGCACAGAGAAAAAGAAATATGATTTTATAACTCTTTAATACCATTTATTTAAATTACTTTCTTAAATTGACCACTTGTTTATTTTCCATTTATATTAAACCATAGTGTGACTTCACAGGCTTAAATTTTTTTAAACTAAAATCACATCAAATATAACAGGGTTCTGTTTAGTTCAGTCAGTAAAATCAAGGCTACATCCTCTAAGTACCATCGGAGAACTGCATCATCAATCGACTTATGTTCTTGTTGTGGCCCATCCTTCCGTTTCAGATGACATGGGAGATTTTGTGAGTCAAGTTAATTGAGTAAAGTAGGATACAGGTTCTTCTCAGGTTGTCCTAACACAGGACATAACCAAGACCCTCACTGTTAGCTGGAGGAAAATTTATTGCACTTGAGAGAAAATTATATGCTCTCTGCAACTGTATGTAGTTGTAGCACTTTCCTTGAGACATGCAGAAATGTACTAGGTATTCATTTTGACTGAGCTCACTGTATAACTTCGTTTTTAAAAACAAGAGTACAAACCAGACAGACACATCAGTATGACCACAATATTTTCCTTTAATTTTACTTCACTGCAGATTTTCTTGACAGACAAAGTTAGTCTTTATGACGAGTGCTAAAATAAGCAAACCCTTCCGTTCTGATCTCATAACATTGGAAGAATCTTTTATAATCTTTAAATATTTTCTAGTTCGATGTAAATCTTAAAATGAAGCTCACTCAGGCATTGAATAGAACTTGAATCATGCCTTTATTTGCTGCTGAAAATTGCTTTTAGATTTCTGTTTATGTTAAGGAAATATGCCCCCCTCCCCTCCACATACCACAACGACTGATATTTATTTTTTAAAAAAGAATTGAATGCTTGAAGTAAAATATTCCAGAATAGAGTCTGTACAGCTTTGTTTCCTTCTCATTATTTTTCCTGAGACTTTTTTGTGTGCTTATTTCCAATGTATGGCGAATGTTTCTGGAATATTTCTGGAATATTCTTTAATTTTTAAACATCATAGTTTTCTTATAAAACTTGAAAGAAATTGGAGAGGGAAATATTTCCTCCTTGTACAGTGGTTTTTTCTCTCAAAATAAGAATAGCTTTAAACTTTCTATAATACACCTCTAAGAAGCCCCATATTAGATTCAATTCAGCAGATAATTTATTTTTCGGTCACCTACTCTGTGCACTCCTCTCATTCTGCATATTTGCCCTGGTCGGTCTCATCTACTTTATTCTGACAATTTCTAAATTCATGTCTCTGGTTTCAGCCTCTCTCCTTAGCCCCAGATAGGTATATCTAACTTGTCTCATATCTCCCACTTATCTGTGGGTAGGTACATCAAGTGCAATAACCCAAAACGTGGGGAATAGCATTTAAAGTGGGGCTTGAGTATGATTTTGATCGGGTTTGGGATGTGAGGGTGGGGTATAGACAAGGCATTCTAGACTGGAAGAAAACGATTCCAAGGTGGTAAAGTATCTGGCAAGATGATCTCTACTATTCCTTACAGTGATATAAGATTTCACATTCTGTTTCTTTTCTTATTGTGGTATAATATATATCACGAAAGTTACCATTTTAACCATTTTAAATGTACAGTTCTGTGGCATTTCATGCACTCATGTGATTTTGCAACCATCACTAGCATTCATCTCCAGAACTTTTTCATCTTCCTCAACTGAAACTCTGTACCCATTAAACTGTATAACTCCCCATTCTCTCCTCACCGTAGTCCTTGGTAACCACCATTCTACTTTCTGTCTCTATGAGTTTCCCTACCGTAGACTCTTCATATAAGTGGAATCATACAACATTTGCCCTTTGGTGACTGGCTTATTTTACTTACACATGCTGGTTTATGTGGTCAGTGTTATGATTGGCTATCTGCTTCATAGACCAACCTACTTAATTCAACATGTACTTGATCTATGTTCAATAATTATCTCATAAATATATATAATGGGTATTTTAAATGTTTTTTAAACATTTTTTCTATGAGCAAATGAATTCCAAGTTCCACAGTAGCATTTCTCCCCCCTATAGCCAAGTGTCTGCTTTAGTGGCAAATTCAAAGGCCCCATGGGGTGATGGAGTTGATACTCCAGACACCAGTGATTTGTTAAAACTAGGCTCCAACTTCTCCCCAGTAAACAGTATAACTCTGAAGTACTTAACTTTTTTTTAAAATTTTTATTGGAGTATAGTTGATTTATAATGTTATGTTAGTTTCAGGTGTACAGCAGAATGAATCAGTTATACATATACATATATCCACTCTTCTTAAGAATCTTTTCCCATATAGGCCATTACAGAGTATTGAGTAGAGTTTCCTGTGCTATACAGTAGGTCCTTATTAGTAATCTATTTTATATATAGTAGTGTGTGTATGTCAATCCCAATCTCCCAATTTATCCCTCTTCCCCCCTTACCCCCTGGTAACCATAACTTTGTTTTCTACATCTGTAACTATTTCTTGAAGTACTTACTCTTTAGGCGTTCTGAATTTTGGAACAGAGAGCCATTTCTTAACCCCTAACTGACCACCCATGTTGATGCAGGGCTTTTTTTAAAAATTTATTTATTTTTGGCTGTGTTGGGTCTTTGTTACTGCGTGTGGGCTTTCTCTAGTTGCGGCGAGCGGGGGCTACTCTTCGTTGCGGTGCGCGGGCTTCTCATTGCGGTGGCTTCTCTTGTTGCGGAGCACGGGCTCTAGGCGCATAGGCTTCAGTAGTTGTGGCGCGTGGGCTTAGTTGCCCCGAGGCATGTGGGATCTTCCCAGACCAGGGCTCAAACCCGTGTCCCCTGCATTGGCAGGTGGATTATTAACCCCTGCACCACCAGGGAAGTCCCTGCTGCAGGACTTTAAACTTAACTCCTCCAACCCATTGTTAAAACATTTGGATCATTTTATAATTGGAGAAGTGACATTTTTCCTTCAGGGACTTCCTATACTTAAATGTGCCAGATATATGGTTATGGTTTAGAGGTTTAGAGTCATTTGGCTCTTTTGGATTTGTAAACCAGTATGTAGATATCAACTTAGTCTTTTAAATTATTTAAGAACAAACCAAACATACATATTTGCATTCTCCAACACAAACATCTTTTACCAGAAATCAAAGATAGAAATTGTAGTCCCCCAAAAGAATACAAACACAGAGTCTAGGTTTTTTGGTTGGGTTTGGTTTGTGATTGGTGTTTTCATTAAGACCTGCTGTGGACAAGGAACAAGTAAGAGCCTGTGTGGGTTAAGCTTCCTTGAGTAGGGAGGAGCCCCACTGGCTCGCTATTCCTGCCTGTGCCCACTCGGGCCTTGCTTCAGTTCCCCTGCCTGCCTCACAGTCTTCTGAATGTTTGGACCTATGACCATCCTCCAGCGAGGTTTGTCTGCAGAAGTGACAATCAGAAGGAAGCAGCCAGAAAAGCTATGAGGCAGCTCTGGTTCCCTGCCTGTTTCAGAAGAGTCCTAGATCCACTGAATAGCTCGCTTGCAAAGAGGAAGCCTTCTTTTCAGATCGGGAATTTGCTTAGTCATAAGTTTACGACTTTTTAAGCTTTCTATGAATACATTTTGGTAGGTTTCTGTTTGAATCGGTACCAAAAAAAAGACACACATTGTTTTTAACTTGGAAAACAGTCGCTTTCATTCATGCAGAACTGCAAAACAGATAAACATGTTTTATAAGATCTTTTTATTTTTCTTTGAATGTCAGGTGAATGGGAAGCATTCTGAATTCATGAGGTAGAATGTAGTACTTAGGAAAAAAACGTGGCAAAAGATAAACTTCTCAGGCTGTACGGCATTGTGAGAAACACTTTTTTCTTCTGTAGAAAAAAATAGGAAGACTCATCAGGTTCACAGTTCTCATGTTCTGAGTCCTAATTTCTATACATGGAAACAAGTTACATGAACCACTCCTGGAACTCTTCTCCTCTCCCACTGTTATGGGGATTTATTTCCTCTCCTGCCTACTGTATACACCACTCTTTCTCTTCTCAGTTCAAGCTGGCCTGCTGTGACAGGAGAGAGTTGATGTCAAGATGGGCGGGGGACATTGTTCCTTTCTTTCTCTTATACATTCTACATAATGTCAGCATCTTAATTTAACTGAGCCTTCCCTCCCCGGACCCTTACCCTACACCACAACCCATTCCCCCCCACTACAGTGTCCCCTAAACACTCATCATCATGTTATTGGAGTCCATTCTCTGCCATAATAAAGCCCCAGTCTCATGGAGACACTTGGAAATTTTAAATGGAACTCCTAAGTACTTCCCAGGGATTTTGGAATTTGAGGACTACTGGCAACAGCTTGAGAATCTTCATTCCACAGCTCGGACCGTAAAGGTGAGAGATGTGTTCCTGGCATCCCAAATCGAAGCACGACACTGAATATATTTTCCCCTAGAAACATTGTTATGGTATAAATGGTAGTGTCTCTGGTATCCTTTCTGCTATACTATGGATACCTTTGTGTTAAATTGTCTTTTTGGAGGACACTGCTCCAGGAACCTAGGCATTATTTTTATGGGAAAATGCTTGCTTTCCAAATTCCAAACATCTTACTTAAAAATGGACTTTTGGAACACAATCCATTCACAACTTGGCTATTGGCCAGTTTAGCAAAACCAACCATTCTGCTTTCAGTCAATTCTGTGGTCCTACAGTAATTCAGAGAATACCACTCATGAAATGGTATGGAGAGAGAGATGTCTTCCATATTTCAAAATATAGCTGAAAGAAAAATGATTTAATGATTTATTCCAAATTTTATCTGATGTAGCTGAATGGTGTGTGTGTGTGTGTGTGTACACCTATTTTGTAATTCAAACAGACGTGTTCCCCCTATGAGCTCCATTTCCTCTTGTACAACTTACAGTGAAGTTAATTCTACATGAATTAATCATAATGCTTTTTAAGTTACACACTCCCTTTCTCTTATCCATTTACCTCTGGAGAGAGGGGGGTCAATGTTCTTTTTAGGTTCCATATGTGTACAAAAAATTCCCGTTAATCCTGGTTGGTAAAAGTTGTAAAGTACATTAAAACAAAAGCCAAAAACTAAAATAAGGCACAGTACCCAGTGTCCTCAAACTCTAAAATCACATGGGAAGTACCCAGAAGCCCCATTCAAAATTTCTACAAGTCTCTATTTACCTCCTCATTCTTTTTCTTTTTCCTCCTCATTCTTTAGTGTAACTATGTTTCCTTTCAGTATCATTATTCAAAATAATTTAAAGTGATGGTTTTTTCTGGGTTTTATAGAAGTTGCTAACAGTTAAACAATAAGGAACAATAATGTGTTATTTATTTAGCGATATCATATGGTAAATCGGTTTCAGGGAGGGCCAAGACTCAGAACTTGACTTTCATTTGTAATAGTCTATGGAAAAATATATTCTGAGTTCCAAACAACTAATTTTAAACCTGTATTTTAGAACCAGTACATTAGTATGTCAGATTTAACATTTATGCTAGTATGTTACTTGGCTCAGGTTTATAATTATTAAACTATTTCATGGCTTTTACAGGGTTCAAAATTATGGATAATAATGGAATACCTGGGTGGCGGTTCAGCACTGGATCTTGTAAGTATTTTTAAATAATTACACACATATATCCATACTTGCACTTTTTTCTTTTAATTGGAGTAAGCAATGGTTTTTGGACAAGCTAAGCAGTTGTTTAGTTAATATGTTCACTCTGTCTTCAGGACTATTACTCTTATATAGATTCAGCTATATTGCAGGGTTCTGCACATTGCTGGCATTCTTAAAGTATATAAGAAATGCAAACAGCTTAATAAAATAAAATTCCCCCCAAATTAGGAATGAGTGTGTGACAGTTGCCGTCAGTTTAGAGTTTTACTTTACATGCTTATCCCTGAGAAGACTCAGTGTTCTTAGATTTTTAAAAAAGATATCATTCAGATAACTGTCTCTAAAATTGGCTCTTGGGTTCTAACCAAGAAGGCCTACAGACCCAGCTCTCTGCAGAGTTCTCTCTGCCCCTCTATAGGTCATTTGGAAATGTGATGGCATCTTTGTCACAATGACTTGGAAGTGCCACAGCCATTTTAGTGGGCAGGGACCAGGCTGCTACAATCCTGCAGTATGCGGGAGAAGTTCTAACCAATGAAGATATGTTCGTGCATGAAATGTTTTTGAGAAACACTGGTTGTTTTCCCCAAGTGGTGTGATTCTGTCAGTGTTGTTCCCCGCCTTTTAAATCTTTATTAATATGACATTGTATTTAAAATGCAATATGAATGACTAGAGACAAGTTTGTGTAGTAGAATAACCACTGGGCTGGCCTGTGGGAGTTTGAGGTTCTAGCGCTGGCTCTATTTATAACTAAATCTGTGACTGTGAACCAGACACATAAATTCCTTGGACTTGGATGTCCTATAAAACAAAGAATTTGCACTAAGCTCCTCTTCCATGTTTAATATAATATGACTTTTATATAATATGCTTCTGCCTTTGAAATTATAGAGTCTGCTGTTTCTAAAAGTAATTTTAATTCTTATTTTTTAAAGTGGAGATGAGTTTTTCTGACTAAAAGTAATCAAATATTTTTTAAAGGCTTTCATCCTAACTGCCAATGACTCCAAAGTTTCAGATAATCCTGTGAACAGAAATGACCATAAGCGATTTTCTTCCCTTTAAACAGAACCATACTTAAACCATTCTAAAGAAATGATAATTAAACTTGATGGAGAGCCTCATCTTCTAGGAATTCATCGCAGTTTAATCAGTTGCTGAGTTTGGTCATCCTTCCTTGTGTCTAATGTAATTCTTATATCCTAAAGCTAGAGTTCATTTTGTTCTTTCTCTCTCCTCTAGTGAGAGAACATAACTGGTGTTTCTTTGGATAATAATCCTTCATGCCTATGGAGTCTGGTCTCATTCTCCTCTTGCCGTTAAATGATCTCAGCTCTATTTCTCTTGTCACATGGTTTGATTACACAATAATTTTTTCATTAGCTCCACAAGAAGCCTCACAATTGCTCCACGAGCCTCCTTCCACTTCTTAAATATTAAGAACCCTTTCCAAATTTATCACAGTTAACTGCCCCCAAAAGTGCTTACCATGTCACTTCCCTGTTTTGTAGGCATTGGCAAAGCTAGTGCACTGCTTTCATCGGATTTCTGATAGCAATGTGAAGCACTGGACACTGGCCCAGCCCTAACTAATACAATCTGTATCCCCAGTAGTAGTTTGGTCAGTTTTATGAAATCTCTGAATGAAATGATTGTGAGATCATAATCTCATTCTGCCATTCTGATCTCCACCTAAGTACAACAAATACCTATTAGCATAAATTCAATGAACTTAAAATGTTCTTAAAATCAAGAGACCTAGATCCTAGTCCTGGTTCTGCCATTGACTAGCTGGCTAATACTGGGCAAGCCATTTAACCTGTGCCTCAAATGTTCAATGAAGAAATTAGATGAGTAATCTCTCTAACTCTGTTTTTCTAGCCCTAACGCTTAATGATATTGTGATTTAATTATAAACCTCATTTGACTGGACTTTGTAGGCAGAGCAAGTGATGAGAAAATGTGCTACTTCTTCTTCATATATAGTCCTGTACAAATGAATGCTATCATTTGGGGGAATCTAAGAAAGGATCAGGCTTAGAGGAGGGCACTGCTACCAGGGACAAGAGAAATCAGGAGGGATGCTGGGTAGAGTGTTCATCCCTTAAACTGGTGCCTGACTAATGGAACATGATTATGACCAGTATTGATGTCAACATTATATAGTGTATACCTCAAGATTCCCTCCCATTCTAACAAAAATAATTAGTTGTATGTGAACAGACTTTGAGCATACTGTACATTATTTTATTGAATTGATTATACCTTACTTCTTTCCAAACAGAATTGCAGTGACTTACAACAAAAACACATATAATAAGGTTAAGAGAATAAAACATGAGCACCAAGGGAAAAAGTTGGAAACAGTATGCTAACTGTAAGAGAAAGCATAACAAAACATGGTGCATTAGGGACTGGCTGGAAGTCAAAAGAGTATGAGGAACACCCCCAAGCCCACAAGTAGATAGTCTCTGAAAGGGAAAATGTCCCTCTCTTGAATATCCTCAGTTGACAACAGAGGCAAATCACACAAGGCCAGTACACTGCCCTGGGGGCAGAAGTGTTAGCTATTAGAGACATGATATGGTCTTCAGTCTTTGGAGAGAAGCTCAGTTGTGCGCTCCAGGGACAGTCGACCAAGATCTTGCGTCATCTCTCCCAAGGTTGCGTTGGAAATTTTTTAAAAAGCAATCTGTGTTCCATCTACTTTACCTTCCTTCTCTTTCCAACTCCCTTATTTCTCCTTTTCTGATCATTATCATCATGGCTAAGGAAACATTTTAACCACAAGGTTTGGGACAGTTTTCTGTCTGATAGTGAACAAGAAAAACGCAGCTCTACCACCACCCCATTCCCATTTCCCTGCCACCCAGGCGCCCCTACCATCCCCCTCCGGTACCCAGTTAAGTGAGATTTTACTTTTACTGAATTTTAAACTGGACCTAAGTATACCAGATAAGCAACGGACCACTTTTCTGTTTGTTTTTACTTAAATATATTTTTAAAATTCTGTATTATCCAGGGCACTTTTAGAAATCCTTCAGAATGATAGCTAGTATCTTTTATATGGACCTTGCCCAATTTCCTAAGTGACTGAGGGTATACCTCCTCTGGCCCTGTCAACATTTTATAATCAGTGATACTAAGTACTAATCTTAAGTAGTATGACATTTATCTTTAACTTATTTGGTAGTACCTCAGAATTTCATTGCCAGCAATCAGTAAAATAGTATGCCATTTTCACCTTTTAGATGACTTTAATCACTGCTGTTTAAAAAGAAACTTTTGGGGTGGAAGTTGATATATTTGAAAGTAAACAGATAATGTTACCTAGGAAAGGCACCTATTGAACTATGAACATCCCTGGAGTATACTATATATCCAGAGCATAGTTAATATTAAATGGTGAGACCGAAGTGTGGTTTCTATTTTAAGCTGTTAAATTTCAACATGAAAGTGCCCTTTATTCAGAATAAATATGGCATTCATGAAAGATGAAATACAGAAGGTGCCAAAGAGCTGTGAATCCCTCCCAGTGTGAGGCATAGTGGGCAATATTTGATTTTCACCACCTCTTCCCTCCTTCCAGCAAACAGAACTCTACCTCAGCTCTGACTTTAGATTCCCACCCTTTCCTGTAATAATATTGTACAGTCCACTGTTTGTGCTTTATGAGGTACCAGAATTTTAAAATAACCATTTATTTTAAGGAGAGATTTTCAGATATTCCATTACAAATTCTCCTGAAACCTAATCATTGCTTTCCTTGTATTGCAGTTAAAACTACTGGCTTTAGTACAGGGAAATGTGTTACATTTATTTGAAAAAACGTATCCCTCCATAATTTGATACTTTTTTACAATGAAAGTCTGAATAGTTTAATTATTATATTCCTAGCTAAAATTTAAATCTGAGTCTCAAAAAAGGCTCTATGCTTTACAATGTTTTTGAAATACACAAATGCTAAGAACTGTGCTACAGCTGACCTATATGATCAAATTTGGTTGCTGCAAAAATCTTATGGACCGTCTGATCTAAAAATCAGTTCGGTGTAAATATTTAATAAGTTTTAAACAGCAAATGCCAAAATTTAAGTAGCTGATTTCTTTTTTCCTATCTGAGAAAAAGAAAGCTAGTTCTGTCATTATTTAAGCATGTTTCTTAGATCTTTGATGTAAATATTTAAGAACCTTAGGATTTGGAGCTAGTATATAGGTTGTACTATCTTTCAAGATTAAACTTAATCATTAAAAAACCCTTTCTGCCCTTTGACTTAACTTTCCTCACCTTTTAAAATTTTCTCATTTGTTTAAATATTGGTTTAATAAACAGAACTGCTTCATATATCTAAGCGATTCTCTTATTTCAAAGAGAATGTCAAGTTCGAACTTCATTGTTCCAAACTTTTACATGTATATGTATGTATGTGTTTTTCCCCCTAAGCTGAGAGCTGGTCCATTTGATGAGTTCCAGATTGCTACCATGCTAAAGGAAATTTTGAAAGGTCTGGACTACCTGCATTCAGAAAAGAAAATTCACCGAGACATAAAAGGTATACAGAAGTCTAATGTGAACCTGAGAAAAACAGGTGCATTCTGAGGAAGCTGAGGGTTTTTTCATCTCTTTTTCCCTCCTAGCTGCCAATGTCTTGCTCTCAGAACAAGGAGATGTGAAACTTGCTGACTTTGGAGTTGCTGGCCAACTGACAGATACACAAATTAAAAGAAATACCTTTGTGGGAACACCATTTTGGATGGCTCCTGAAGTTATCCAGCAGTCAGCTTATGACTCAAAAGTAAAGTGTTACCTGTACAAACTATTTTGTTTTTAATATTAAGTTTTATATAGCGTACTATCCTATTTAATAAACTGCCTTAATACTCCTTCCTTTTAAAGTATTCCTAAAGCTAGAGTCATGTCAGTTGTTGCTGGTAAATCATACGTTCCCTTGTTGCTGGTAATATTTGGACCTTCTTCCCTTCAGTGGCCTTTCATCCTACTTGGAATACAATCCAAAGTTCTTACTATCACATATGTGTCTCTCTACAGCCTGGCCCTTGTCTACCTCTGGCTCATCTCTTATCACTCTCCTCTATTTTCTTTTTTTTTGATCTCTCTTCACTTCCACTTTTTAAAAAATTAATTTGTATTGGCCCTCTATTTTCTATCTGCTTCAGCCACAGTGGCCTCATTGCTGGTCCATAAACACAGCAAGTCCCCTCTAGCCTCAGGACCTTTGCACTTGCCTCTCCCTCTATCTGGAATAGCCTTTCTCCCAATTAGGTCTCTGCTTAAACATTACCTACACAGAACAGTCTTCCCTGGCCATCCTGTGTAAATTTGCAGCCCTTTTACCTTATTCATTATTCCCTTATCCTGATTTACTATTTTCTTCACAGAACTTAGCACCATCTGACATCCTATTATTTATTTATTTATCTGTCTCTTCTACTAGAACATAAGCCCCTTGAGAGCAGGGATTTTGTCTGGTTTGGTCACCACCTGAGTCCTCAGTGCCTAGAATACAGTACCTGGCACAAAGTAGAGTATTTGATCATTTTTTTAAATAAATGAATTATATTAATAAAAATTTATTAACATCACATTTCTTGAGACACTTTCATATTGTATGACCGTTAGACTCCACAGGTTATTTTGTGGCATTATGTTGGAATGGAATTTCAAGGTAATTGTTCTTTCCTCCTTACCTTAGGCTGACATTTGGTCACTGGGAATTACTGCTATTGAACTAGCCAAGGGAGAGCCACCTAACTCCGATATGCATCCTATGAGAGTTCTGTTTCTTATTCCAAAAAACAATCCTCCAACTCTTGTCGGAGACTTTACTAAATCCTTTAAGGAGTTTATTGATGCTTGCCTGAACAAAGATCCATCATTTGTGAGTATATATGCTATGACTACTATTTTCTATGATCAGATCTACATAGAGCCAGTGTGGTTTGTTCAACAGTGAGGAATACAGTGCCTGTGAAAACTGTCTAAGATCCATCCAGGAACGTGATTCTTCCCTCTATGTTGCTAATTTTGTTTAGTTGTTGACAAGATCCGTAGTTTCTTCTCTCCTTCCCCTGCATCTTTTTCTCTTTTTTCTATGGTCCCTAGCTTCTTCTTTATTCTGTTGATCATTTCCTATTTCAGGGGGAAATAAAGTTCATTTTCTAGGGTGTCATTATGAAAGTATATGTATAACTATTCACAATGATTTTTATTCAAGTGTGTTTTCATTTTTCATGAAAAGTTGTTTGCGTTTCACTATTTTTTATTTAATGTTCAGAAATTCCAACATGAAGTTGTATACGTTTCCTGAAGTCTAATGAGCTCCATTCATTTACTTGGCAAAGTTGATTACAGTTGTTCTACTGTTTTTAAAATAAAGCTGCCCGATGACTTCGAGAAACTAGAAATATACAAGAACTGAATTTGATGTGACAATTTTTAAGTTGCTAATGGATATTCTCATAGTAATAAAATACTAGGGGGAAAAGTATCCCCCACAGCACCTGGTGTTTGTATTTAGATGCGATATGAATTAATGTGTGATGAAGAAGGGGGTCATATGATATGTACAGATAATTAACAAAGTTACAGCCTTGCTAGTTTTCACCCTTTTTTCCAATTTACAGTAAATATAATAAAAGTATTTTAAAGCACTATTTTGAAACGTTTTTAAATTTTTACTTAATTATCAAAGTCCTGCCATGTGTTTCTCTGCTTTTAAGAAAGCCCTGCTGCCTGTTGCTAGTAGGTAGGCCACCTTTTGCCCATTGGGCTTTAGCAAATTGGTACCAAAATAGTGAATTTAATTTGGTTGCCTTGAGCCACTTCAAAAATAGAATTAGCTATTGTCCTGTGGCATTTTAGTTATCCTCATATCTGCAGACATACTTTTACACCTTTCGGCTTAATAGCTGAAGTGATTTCTTATCACTCCTTGCAATCAAAAGAGCCTAGAAATATTCATGCATCCTTTCTTTTTTGTTCCTTAGCGTCCTACAGCTAAAGAACTTCTGAAACATAAATTCATTGTAAAAAATTCAAAGAAGACTTCTTATCTGACTGAACTGATAGATCGATTTAAGAGATGGAAGGCAGAAGGACACAGTGATGACGAATCTGATTCTGAGGGCTCTGATTCGTATGTACCAATTATTTAATTTTTATGTAGATAGCCCATTTTAATATTGCATATATTTTAACTGTGATCCAATATGCTTTCTCTAGCATAAAATATAAACCTTATTCTAAAGTCTGACTTTAGAAACTGTGAAAATCTTTTAAAATCACCGTCTGTGAAGTACAATGAATTTGGAAACACGTTTTTTTTCTTAGAAGTGAATTGCTTTAGTTTTGAATGGTCTCGGTCTAACCCCTAGTGGATACTTGAGTATATTACAAAATTTTGGAACAAGATTCGATTTAAGGTGTTTTACTAGTTTGCCCAAAGTGATGAGGAGCAATGTCTTCTCTTACTTTGATGGCAACCTGCAAAATCCCTCTGGAGAACTAACGTTTCCCAGCTCTTGGCCATGTACCAAACCGTGATCAGACCGGGACATTGAAATATTCATTTATATCTCATTTGTACACCCTAAAAAGTTGCATTGTTTTTTAACTGCAGCATTTATACTAACATTTTAACCTCTAAGTCCATAATTTAATTTACTCCTTCGCTAGCTGAATTGACACAAAGGCAACACCAAATTTCTTTAGATATACTACTTGCATTTATGAGAAATTGCCCAACTTTTAAAAGGTCTGAAAAATACCAGGATAGTTGTTTTTACTCTGTTCTAATGGTTGTTGGCCTTAGCTGCCCAATGAGAGTCACCCATGGAGCCTTTCAAAAATGTAAATCAACTATACTGCAATATAAAATAAAAATTAAAAAAAAATCACAAGCCACGCTACAGGAGATCCTGATCTAGTCAGTGGGAAGGGGTTGGGGCAGGGCTTTATATATAGTAAGAGACCTTCACGTGTGATTCTGGTACACACTTAGAGTTGAGAACCATTGCTATTCTTCAGTAAAAAGCAGTGTCGATTTGAAACTGAGATCAAATGATTTTTTATACATCGGGACAGTTCTCCGTTCGGAGTCTGGCTGCATTGATTAGGTATTTTCACCAAGCTGTATCATTTAGGAACTTACAGAAGTATCTTTGGCAATCTCTTTAGGGAATCCACCAGCAGGGAAAATAATACTCATCCTGAATGGAGCTTTACCACCGTGCGAAAGAAGCCTGATCCAAAGAAACTACAGAATGGGGCAGTATGTATATGGAGATGATCACTTCCTCTTGGTAGACTTTTTCAAACTATATAGTGAGAGTATGATGGCCAAAAATTGTTAGAATTTAATACCCCTAAACGCTCATCTACCTCACTGTGTCCATAGTAGGTTTCATTTGCCATTCGTTTTGAGCTAATTAAGGAAAGGTCATAGAAGTCATTTAAGTGGCGATTGGTATGTTTTAAAATGCATTTTACCTAGAGATATCTAAACCCATTGGAATCATGTATATCAGTTGTAGTCCTCTAAGTTAGAGAACTTATGGATGACGGATGGGAATTAGTGATGGGAAGAAAGCATGGAAACTTGCCCCGTATTGGGTCTTTTGGGAGGAGGATTCCAATGAATGCACATGAATGATTATTTTAATGTCATGTGTATAATCTGTAATATTTGTTCAAAGGAGCAAGATCTTGTACAAACCCTGAGCTGTTTGTCTATGATAATCACACCTGCATTTGCTGAAGTAAGTACAGATTCATTAGCTTTGGATATCTATTTTAAGAAGTATAATAATTTTAAATGTTATAGCTATTGATCTTTCTCAGCTTAAACAGCAGGATGAGAATAATGCTAGCAGGAATCAGGCAATCGAAGAACTGGAGAAAAGTATTGCTGTGGCTGAAGCTGCCTGTCCTGGTATCACAGATAAAATGGTGAAGAAATTAATTGAAAAATTTCAAAAGTAAGCTTGAAATGTCATTTTAAAAAAACTATTTTGACATTTTCTGTTGCATGTTCATTTATGATGCGATAATATAATTACCTACTTGATTGAGTCATTCTGTTTATTCCTAACAAAGTCAATTCTTAATAGTCATATGCTTGAAAACTGTTTGTTTGTTGCCCATCTTAAACATTAGCTTTTGGAATTATTATCTTCGGGCATTACAAGGTAGTTTTCCACTGAACGAAATGGCCTGGCTTTTTTTTTTTTTTTTCCCTCTCCCTGTTAGTAGGAGTACAGACAAAAGGTCAGGGGACATATTCTTATTTGGACCCTTGTAAATACCATTGAGGAATGCTTTCATTCTTGCCACTACTCTTATCACACTGCTGTTCACATTGTTTCAGTGCTAAAGTCCATTAAATTTAACCCCCATAAGAAAAGTTAAGGATTTTAGGTAGAGAAACTCAAATGAAGACTCTAAAAGGTTCTTATGTTGGATTTCAGTTTCTATACTGCCTCTTGAACTGTTGCTTTAACTTTGTTCACATTCAATAAAGTTCTTACATTTAATTTTTAAATTCCCTTTAAAAACAAGACTTTTGTATGCATATACAAACACAACTCCTTAGCTCAAGCAAGTTATAAAAAGCACTACTAATCTTAGCCTTAATCCCATTATATTGCTTCTCAGTGCATCTTTATATTCCTTTGTATTTGTGATGCCACTGGGATCAAGTTGGAACAAACCATACAGCCTGTAAAACACATAATCTCCTAGATCTTTCTGGCTGATAAAGCCTATTTATACTCATCAACTAAAGCCCCTCTTAAAATCCCTTAGTTTTTAGTGGAAACCTCCCCTCTTTTCCAATTTGCAAACAAATCAATTGGAAGTTGTAAAATCAGACCCAGAAGGGATTTTTGAACTGCTTTACATTTTAACGTTTACATGATGAGACGCAATACAATTTTTGTTTGCTGAATCAACTCTTTCATTGCAGAGTTCATACAGATGTAAAATAGACACATGCATAGTTGTATATCAATTTAAGTTTTTCTTAATTTTATAGGTGTTCAGCAGATGAATCCCCCTAAGAAACTCCTTGTTAGTGGCTTCTATTTCATATGGACCCAGAGAAACCCACCAAAGCTACTTCAAGCTTAACAATGCTTAACTCATGAGCTCCACGTGCCTTTTGGATCTTTGCGACATTGAAGATTTGGAAGAAGCTATTCAACTATTTTGTGATGGTGTTTATCATTTTATATTTTAAAGAGATTATTTTGTAAGGAATAACTTTTAATACTATAGTTTCACCTGTATTCTAGTAAATGTTGAGATGCAGTTTTGCTTTTAGGTATCATTATTACTTAAGTTACTAGGATGAATACCTTTCATGTTTTGATCTTTAGTTAACTGTACAGTTATGAAACATACAGGTCTTTCAAAGTCATCCTAAATATTCAACTTTTGTAATCATCAAGCCTCAAAAAGCTTTTTTTTTTTTTAAACACAAGCATATTCTAAAAATGACTACTGGTGGGGAGGCGGAAACAAGTCACACGTTCTTAAAGCAGAAGGTTTTTTTTTTAATTTATTTTTGGCTGTGTTGGATCTTAGTTTCTGTGTGAGGGCTTTCTCTAGTTGTGGCAAGCGGGAGCCACTCTTCATCGCGGTGCGCGGGCCTCTCACTATCGCGGCCTCTCTTGTTGCAGAGCACAGGCTCCAGACGCGCAGGCTCAGTAGTTGTGGCTCACGGGCCTAGTTGCTCCGCGGCATGTGGGATCTTCCCAGACCAGGGCTCGAACCCGTGTCCCCTGCATTAGCAGGCAGATTCTCAACCACTGCGCCACCAGGGAAGCCCAAAGCAGAAGTTTTTAATAAGCTCTTAGAAATGAAACCTGGAAAATTATTGACTCTTCTCCCAAGTGGGTATGATATTCCAGGCAGCTCAATGATGATCACATCTGAGAGCCCTGCGTTTGAAACATTTAGAGGCAACATGTAGCAACAGAGGTACCTCTTGGTGTGCAGTATTTACTTTCTTTTATAGAAGACACAATTGACCCTTATTTAACATGGTTGGAAAGTTAAAGCAGTACTAATTAGCCAAGGATGGATTTTTGGTAATACCGGAAGAATTAGTTTTTAATTCATTTTTAAAATCAACTCAAATCGCATATTATATGCTTGGCTTTGGGGAGCTTAAAAGAAGCTGATTATCATGTGATTATAAATACCTGATCAACAGGTATGAATATAATTTACACCAGCATATTTTTGTCATGGTCATAAAATGTCCTATAAACTATTTATACATTTTTTTCCTCATAACTATCCAATACATAAACATCATTTGTTCATTTTTGAAAGGGTATTTAAATAAGCATTTTCTAGTTCATATGAAAATAACCATAGTACAGGATGATTTCTGTCTGTACAAAGGTAAGTTAGACTGTACAGTTAATTTTCAGTTATATTTATGGTACTGTTACATGGGTAATACCTTTTTCTTTTAAGCCCAGTATATATATTATGCCTGCCTAAGTTCTGAAGTGGGGCTATATTTCGGTAGTTGTAGAATCATTGATATTAATTAGTTTTGATAGTTAATGTTTTATTGTTTGGGTCTGAACAATTTGGTTTTTGCACAAAAGTCATTTTAATAAACCTGAATAATTGCCAAATATTAGAAGAAAGATTTTCTTCAAGTGAAGAATACAGTTTTTAGTCAAAGCGGCCATTACCTCTTCCTTTTTTGTAATAATACAGACACTTGAATAAGTTGTTTTTGTGTCATATGCCAAGAAAATTTTTTCATTGGTGCCTATACTGTAATAATTACTTTTAACACATTGTATTTTGAAGTAATAGTTCAGTTAAATTTTTCACCTGCTATGTAACTGAAACTCAATTACAGTTTATAATTTGTAGAGGTCTGGTGGTAATTTTGCAGCTCATATCATGTATCAAATGAATATTTTTGTAAAAATAAAAGCAACAAATTTTTAAATTGATTATTTGAAACTGTACAGCACAGCTGCACCATGGATAGAAAATTGTATTGCTTATTCATTATAGTTATTAGTCCTGTAAACTGTTTCTGGGTAAGCGTACTTCAGTGTTTTGGGGGGGGTTAAAAATAAATATTTAAATTTCCTGGTCCCCAATGTTACTTTTCTTGAGGTGGGGGTATGGTGTGGTATTTTAATTGTTTCAAATCATTTCTCCTGTCCCCTTTCATTTATTGTTGGAACTTTTACACCAGTGTTTCCATTGGAAACTAGAAGGTATTCTTCACATTTTATTAAACATTGATTATAGCTCCAGTGAATATGTCCTGATTTCTGCCTCCTGTCCTGACAAAATTATTAATAGAGTCCTCTTTCACTCAAAAAAATGTCCTTCCTAGGTTACACAATAAACTTTATGGTCACCCTAGTTATAGTTTTATTAGGAAATTTTATACAGATTTGAACGCTCTATTTCTCTGGGGGAAACAAATTTCACAAAGATTTCTAGAAACTGAGATGAGAAATAGCATATAATCCTAAAAGAATTTGAGTTTTTCCTAGAGAAAAGGTCAAAGATGAACTTAATATAGCTTTGAGTATCTATAGGATTAATATATAGGTGATTGGGTTTCAATATATTCTTATTATTAAATAGCTATTCTAGACTTGTGAGTTACCGGATTCGATTCCAGGAGCAGGAAGGAAAGTGCTAGCATGTTGGAAAGAGGTAGAGTGAGGTATATTCAAAGGGATTTTTGTGGTGTAAGGACTAGGAGAGTAAGAAAACTATTCCATCCATCTTTTCTCCATTCAGTCATATATAAAAATAGCTTGCTTACATAATTGCATCATTTCTTTGAAGTCACTACCTAACATTATCTTGTAAGTATGTTTTACTTACCATTAAAATCAATAAAGAAAATAAAATTCTCAAATAGAATGCTATACCTTCCAAGGGAAATAATAGAAAAATTTTGAATCGGCCAAGAATAGAATTTTGAAAAAAAAAAAAGAATAGAATTTTGGTTCATTAACTCAGCCTGGAGTACTATCCTTTTTTTTTTCAGCTACCCCAATTCTACCACTTCTCCATCCCTGACTATACATTTTTACCTGCTTCCCTCCTTTTCCTTGTTCTCTAAATGTCCCTTCCCTTAATTATAGGCTAGAGCCAATTACTTCTGAAACTGACTGAAACAAAATGAAGTTCATACTTACAACTTAATTTTCAAATAAATGGGTTTCCATCACTCTTTATTAAAATGCTGTTCATCTCATTTCCTTGCCTACATGCACACAACAAGATATGGCAAAAAAAAATGCTTGCAGGAGAGATTACATAAACAGACCAACATGTTAACTTTTATCTTTCACTACATATTACAGCTAGTTAAGAATAGAGAATAAGTCAAACATCATATTATCCACATCAGGCAGATGTCTGGCTTTAGAAATTGATCAATTCCTGAATTCCTGAGGTTTAGAATTCTGCCAAGTCCTAGATTAATTATAAACTTGTGTTCTGTTGAGAGGATCTATGTTCCTTCTTGTTCCTGAAATATAGGAGAGCCATGCTCCCCCTAACATATGTTATAAAAATTGAAGTCTTTGGGGCTTCCCTGGTGGCGCCATGGTTGAGAGTCCGCCTGCCATTGCAGGGGATGCAGGTTCGTGCCCCGGTCCGGGAAGATCCCATATGCCGCGGAGCAGCTGGGCCCGTGAGCCGTGGCCGCTGAGCCTGTGCTCTGCAACGGGAGAGGCCACAATAGTGAGAGGCCCACATACCGCAAAAAAAAAAAAAAAAATTGAAGTCTTTAACATAAAACAGGGCCATTTTTACTGGGTCCCACACGAATAATGAGGACTGAAACCTTTAGTTGTAGTATTGTTTAAGAACAACATGACCAACACACTCACAGTCTACTAAATCGCTAAATGATATCAGAACCCAATTCTATAGGTCAATCCATACTGTCACTGTTCTTCAGTGTTGAAGAGCCTGACATTCGTTTATAATGTCTCTTTGGGGAAATGTATAATGGAGATGACAAATACCCACCTCACTCTGCTATGGGGCTGGTGAGGAAAGGGCATGTTCCAGAATGATTCAGAGGGAATAGAAGAGTAAGGCTTGAGGAACGGGGCAGAGCTGGATCTTTCATAAGCTAAGTGCCTAATCTTAGAAGAGTCCCTTAATACCAATGCATAGTAACAAAGAAAGTGGTTTTTGCAGAAGGTTCCTTATGTTTCACCTAAGTTAGTAACATGGAATTGGCCTGGAAATGTTCATAGGGTTCACGTTTTAAGCTAAAAACTAATTACATGGTTTTCACAAAGTCGTATCTTCAGCACTTGATGTATTGAAAGAGACATCTTCATCTTCTTCATCTAGCTGTAGGCTACCAGAAGACAAGCGGATTCTGGCCGTGGGTGAACTTATTCCTTTGTCATACAAAGAGTAGTAGTCTGGTTTAAGAATCTCTGATTCAGAATCACTGGATTCACTAGCTACATACCCTTCTGTTGCTCCCTGATCCGCTAAAACTGTTGGAAACTCCTGCTCTGCAAACACATATGTAAACAGGTCAGCTTTACGACTCAGAGCAGGACAAGGCCCTAAAGGTCTAAATTCTGATCCAAAAGGAAAACGGATAGTTTTCATGTCTGATTGGCTCTGGGACCGTTTAGGGGTTGGCTCTTGAATGTTATATGCAAATGCATCTTCCAAATTTGGATCTTCCTCTTCTAGATCTACATTGAGGTTGCCCCTGCCAGTAGTTTGGGCCATAGCTTCTTGGAGTTCTTGAAAGTCTTGCTGAAAGCTCTTCATTCTGAGGTTCCTTGGGCTTCTTTTGGCTGGCTTCATTGCGGTAGGCTGTAGACAGCTGTCTGGCCTTTCCCTTTCCTCTGCCATGATTGGAGACTGTCTGGGCCCCTGGGGTGGTCTGTCCACATAAAAGAAGACTTGGGGAGGCATAATATCAACCTGCTGACCAGTACAAGGAATATAGGGCACATCTGTGTAAGTTAGCTGCCTTGCTGGACTCACTTTGCTTGTAAGGGCAGAAGATGTGCTCGTGTGATTGTCAGCAAACTTACAGCTTGTTTGGAAGGAGCTTAGAGGACTCTTTTCCTCAAAGTGGTCAGGATCGGGGTCGGTGGTAAAGACAGGGTCTGTATAAATAAAAGGGAACGAGGAACTGCTCTGGAACTGATGTAATGATGTGGGCTCTGCCTCTGGTTTGGAATGCTCCAGCTCGGCTGCAAAGGTCACCTCCACTGCAGAGTTTCTCCTCCTGCTGTCCAGCACAGGCTCAGAGGCGTGCACTCCATTCACATTTCGGTAGTACCCACTGCCATAGGCTAGTCTCAAATCTTCCACCTTGAGAGAAAGAACATGTTGGTGAAAGAAGGAAAAAGCCATTTGGTTGGGGTGGGGGCAGGGATCTAAATCAGCCTTGAATTTTCAAAGGTAGTTTTTCACAAAGGCCTTTCAACCCATGTTCTATGCCAGGGTTGATAGATAGATACATAAAAGGTAATAACTTGTACCACATCCCAATTTATGTGCAGAAAAATACACATGACACTTTCCTTTCTCAACACCATCACACTCCCAGCCTCCGCATTCTCTATCTACTTGAGCCAGCATCGTACTTCAAGCAATATGGTTAAGTAGCTGTATTCATGAGCTAGGAGTTCTGTCTTTTGGTCCTGGCTCTGCCTTTATTTGCTGTGTGACCTTAGGCAAGTCTCCTAACCTCCCTGTTCCAGCCTCCTCCCTATTTTCTGTAAAATGGTGGGGAGGAGGGCTGTAAATGGCATGAGACGGTCAATCAATAGATGGTACCTTCCAGCATTATACCTCTGTGATGCCTTTCAGATAAAAATTGCCTCTGACTTGAATGAAGACAGAGTTTATGAGACCTCTAATTAATTTTTTTCAAGGGAGAGCAATGGTTCATACTATAAAACTCAAATGAAGCCATCATCTCACAGTTCCAGGAGAATAGTACTTTGTTCTTAACAAAATTACATAGCAAAAGTACTTTAAAACCTTGACCCAAGGGACTTCCCTGGTGGTGCAGGGGTTAAGAATCCGCCTGCCAATGCAGGAGACACGGGTTCAAGCCCTGGTCCGGGGAGATCCCACATGCTGCGGAGCAGCTAAGCCGGTGCGCCACAACTACTGAGCCTGCGTGACACAACTACTGAAGCCTGCACTCCTAGAGCCTGTGCTCTGCAACAAGAGGAGCCACCGCAATGAGAAGCCTGCGCACCACAACGAAGAGTAGCCCCCGCTCGCCACAACTAGAGAAAGCCCACGTGCAGCAACGAAGACCCAACGCAGCCATAAATAAATTTATTTATTTTTAAAGTTACTTTTTTAAATTTTATTTTTGTGGTACACGGGCCTCTCACTGTTGTGGCCTCTCCCGCTGCGGAGCACAGGCTCCGGACGCGCAGGCTCAGCGGCCATGGGTCACGGGCCCAGCCGCTCTGCGGCATGTGGGATCTTCCCGGCCCGGGGCACGAACCCGCGTCCCCTGCATCGGCAGGCGGACTCTCAACCACTGCGCCACCAGGGAAGCCCTAAATTTATTTATTAAAAAAAAAAAACTTAAAAAAAAAAAACCTTAACCCAAGACCTTATAGCTTCCTCTAAGCCTTAAGATTTTCATAGGTAAAAAAGCAGCTTTTAGTTTTAAAAATACAAAGCCATAGAAATTCGTTTGGATCTGCATTTTGCAAGATGTTAGCAATACAGCTTGCAATTTAAAGACGTGCCAGATCTTTCCAGTCTATAAGGCACACACACCAGTTTACCCAATGGTCTTCTATTGGCTGGAGACTGAGTTGACAGACCTCCCCAGGAGGCTAACCCAACTTGACCAGAGTAACCTTTTTACATACTGGGAGATTCTGGCAGAATTAATTCCTGGAAGCATTTGAAATGTGCATGTATTACATTTATATAAAGAAGAAGGAATTTTCAAAAACTTTACTTGTTTTGACACATCATAGAGGAGGTCTGGTGAGGACCTGCACTGTCATTCATGGTACTGAGATGGGTAATGTTTCCTGAAATCCCCAAACAGAGAAGGAATTGAAATAGTATTCATGTGAGTACAGGATCCCTATAAATCTCTAAATTCAACTTAAAAATCAATGTGACAAGTGGGAAGCAACCAGATAACACAGGGAGAGCAGCTCGGTGCTTTGTGACCACCTAGAGGGGTGGGATAGGGAGGGTGGGAGGGAGGGAGACGCAAGAGGGAAGAGATATGGGGACATATGTATATGTATAACTGATTCACTTTGTTATTAAGCAGAAACTAACACACCATTGTAAAGCAATTATACCCCAATAAAGATGTTAAAAAAGAAAAAATCAACGTGACAAAGAGAAACAAAACCATGTACCTTTCAAATGGCAAGCTCTTCAAACTCCCCTTTTTCCCATATTCCAAAAGTTGCCTTTGGGTTCTTCCGCTATTATAAAATCAAGATAAACAATTTTATGAATGCTCTTTGTAACCCAGTAGGCTAACTAAAACTCAAAAGTGTCATTTATTGTTGAAATCGAAAGATTCTGGATGAATGACATATGTTGTGAATCTCTGACCATCACATTAATAATATACCCATTTATCCGAGGATCTGGCAGAGCAACCTCAACTATTCAGAACCCAGAAATTTTTAAACGCTTCTGAACAGCGCTATATAGCAGTTACAAATTCTGGCCTTGAAAACTAATATACTTTTCTTTAAAGGCCTTTCCCCTTCCTCCAAATTTACACATAGTTTCTAATGAGGCTATTTGTCTGGTCTCCCAATCCATGACAGGAGAAAAACAGCTAACTAAACAGTAGAAGAAGGTTGCTCCAGTCAGACATACACTAGCAAAGAAAGCCAGCTGATTGCTGGGAGAAACACAAGAGCCAAAAAAGAAATCACTAACATAATGAAATCCAAAAAGTCTGGGCCATTTATCACTGTGGTGCAGGGTCTGACATGCCTCCCGCGCCCTGAGGCTGCCACTGCACTACAGCTGCCAGCAGAGAATAATAAGTGATGTTTATAATAGGTCATTAAGAAAAGGGACAAATATCCTCAGTATCATCTGTTTTAAAAGGCAGGGATTTGTAGAATACATTTTGGAAAGAGTCCATAAAAATACATACATTGTAAAAATCTCACTTTTTACTGGGGCAGGCTTCTACTACTTGAAAAATCCTTCACAGGAAGCACTGGATTCGAATTTTTTATCTTAGCTAAGAGTTTGAAAGCGTCTTCCAAAGAACTCCTAGGCTGGTGGGATCAAGTAAAAACAAGTTCTTATTTTGACCTCGCTTCCTTTCCTCCAAGGTGTTAACGTGTAGTAAGGAGCCTCCACTACAATATTGTTCAACCTCTCAAATCCCTTAGCCCCTGCAGTGCTTTCTCACCCTATCTTTTTCCTAACCACCACCAAAAGGATGTTGTTGAGCTGTCCTTCCTATGGCTAGCATGTAAGTTGCACGTAAGGAAAACAGTAGGTTCATTGACTATGTTTTCTCAAAGGCATATGCCCCCTTATCCTTGCAGAAATTCTGATCTAACCTCTTAAGTGGGGTGTACACCTGCCCCTACCTCCCTGTTAGGAAATATTGACTTAATGAGTCACACAGAGAATGAGCAGTAAAGGGTATCATCCTTTATGTGATTGAAATGGATTCTTTATTGCTTCTAGAATTCAAGCTCCTCCTACTGCCTTCCACGCTATTGAAAAGAAGTTGTGTGTTTAGTTTGCCTGTGTGCAATATTTAATTACCTGTAGCGGAAACTGGAACCCTTGCTGCAGAGTAGGGTTTTGGGCTTTGATTTGGGCTCTTCAGAAAGTCTGAAGAAAGCATGGTACTCCACACAAGTCTTCCAGAAAGCCTTGCAGGCATCTCGGCTGGCCATGGTGAACTCCAAGGTATCCTTGCACAACACCTGTATAAACCAATTTCTATCAAGCAAAACATCCTTCAAGAATATCAAAGACCTTCAAATCCCAACGCCTTCTAAACTATTGGTCCAGGGGCCCATCCAGCTTCTGATTTTCCACTTGGCTCCCTTTGGCTTCACACCTACTGAAACCAAATGATTGGCAAACTTCCAAGGAACAGACAGGGCCACTGCTCAAAAACAGAACCTTCTCTAAGAAGCAAATCTTGCTCTGCACACCCTCCTCACCTCACGCGCTTTTTTACCCCCTCTTCTCTGCCAGGAACATATTTATGAAGCTGTAAATTAGGTTAAAATGAACATCAAAGGACATCCTTTCAAAGTGACAAGAAGTTATAAATGACCAACAGGAAAAGGGGAGGGAGGAGGAGATCTTTCTTACAAATGGTAGCCTTTATAGGATGATTGTATATACATGAGTCTTTTTAACACACCAGCTAGAAACATTCTCCCTCTTTATGCTGCCTTGTTCTATGATGCTCTGTGTTGCTCATTTAGCGTATTCTAATCGGCTGTAGGGGAGCTTAGTCTTCCAGACCTAAAGTGCAAGGTTGCCCCATCTCCTGACTCACTATATAACCCCATTTGCCCATGCACGTGTGCAGTCCACTTTGCTGCTCCCCTTCTCTCATTCCTCTCCAGGTCCCTGGATGAAGCCCTGGGATTCGTCACAAGCTTCACACTGAATTCAGTCTTCTGAACTGCTCAAATGAACACTTTTATCTAAGGCTAAGGTTCAGAGGATGAAGCCCAAACTACTGAATTATCTGTAGGTCAAAAATGTAGTTGATACATATTTTTAATTTCCTTTATAGTCATAAAAAATTCTTTCTAGCCCCTTTGTCCCACCCTGTACAATGCAGCCTTGCCCAATAGTTGCTTCTTTTGCTTAATATATACCCACTCCCCACATCCTGCTTTGGGAAAGAGTAGGTATTCAATTATTTGGCATGTAGTAGGTGTTCAATTATTTTTGCTTAAGGAAAGAAGATGAAAATGCTTTATAAAAGGAAGCAAATAATGTTGAATTAATATGTCCACAGTCCTAGATCTGGGCTCTTTCATTTGACTTACCAAATCCCTGAAAAATGGTTTCTAAGGAGACTTGTCTTTCATCCCAGCCACCCCATTTTCCTATTACTTTATTCATTTTGAACTGCCAATAGGATTTCTTAGTGTTTTGCCTTTAGTAAAAATATGACTAAAGCTCTGGTTTATTTATGTAGAGGCAAAAGAGGGAGAATATTATTGGTCAGGGCCAGGCAGATTTCATCACTCACAATCAAACCATTTGCAGAAACAACCAAGAAATCTCAAGTGAGTAGAAAGTAAAAGAAGTTATTCAAAAGCTACTTACCAAGATGTTGGCATGAAGTTTGATGAGAAAATGTTTTCTCTTAAAACTCAACTTGCGAATTTTAGCCCAGTTGAAAGTATTTATCTTTGTATTTCCCTATGATGAAACACATGACAAATTTCAGGATGAATTTCAGCACAAGCTGGTTTGTAAGACAATGCAAACCTGTTGGAAAATGCACTTCATGAACAGGACTATCCTTGATCTATCTCTTGCACAGACTGATCCAGTTGTACTAGATAGAAGCTATGGCCAAAGAAGGCATTCCAGGTGGGACACAAGCCTGCTCTGAAATGCAAGTAAGAAGGGGCATGCCTGGGAAAAGTTTCTAACCAGGATAGGGGATCACAGTAGAAAAAGATTGCAGGTATCCGGGTATACCCCACTTTTAGAAAGTTCACTTTATGCCACTTCGCTTTTACTTCGCTTTTACAAAAGACCCACATTATTACAAGTTTTTGCTAACTGAAAGAAATCCAAAGAGGATTTTTGATTTTACTCCAAAGAAGGAGAAAATAAAAATCAGCATTTGTTTTGCAGTGAGCTGTTATAGAGCCAGCACACACCCTGAGCAGTGAGAGTGGCACCTCTTAAGCTCCTTCCCCAGGAACTACACTCTGCTCGGCAGCTCAGCATCAAGCCACCATAGCTTTGAACCGTACATCGGTACTTTACCTCGATTTATTTTGTGCACCCATTAGCAAAATGTGTCCTCAGGTAATGCTTCTTCACTTTACACTCTTTCAGCTAGGAGAGGTTTCATAGGAATGCTTTACTTTCAAATAGCAGGGGAAACCTGAACTGCAATAGCTCCTCTAATCTCACCCCCTTCCCATGTTTCCAAATTCAACTGCTTTAAAATAAAATCCCATTTATTCTGCCACCTCATTTACTCAAACCCCTTCAATAGCTCTGCACCACCTACATCAACTCTAAACTCTTTTGGCTTGATTTTTTTGCCCCAACTATATTGACTATAACTTTGATCTCACTGCTCCCAGAAAACACCTTTCCATCCTACTCTGTACCTTCCCTCCCATAGGTCTCCTCATTCTCCTTACCCAGAATGACTAGTACCTCCTCTAGGATATTCCATATCATTGCCATAGCCTACACCCATTTCTAACTCCTCTGAACTCCTTTAGGTCTCCTGGACTACTCAAACAGTTTAACTCTCTTGTTTGTTTGTTTGTTCACATAGTCCAAAAATCAAAGGGGGCACAAAAATAAATATATTGAAAAGTCTCACGCCCACCACTGTCACTCCTACCTCTGTCCCCATCTAACCACTGTCTACAGGTAACCACATTATTTTGTTGGGTATACTACTTCTGCAACTAAAGTAAATGTGATAGATTAGCTTTTGATTACTCATTGATATTGATCGTTATTTCTCTGGTCTTTCAAAATAAATTGTGACTATCGTAATGACAGGAGCCATATGGCATGCTTAATGTTAGTTTCTTGATTATGTCATCCTTTATCCTTCTCAGGGCCTTTGCCTGTGTGCCCTTTCCCTGGAACACCCTCCTTCATCAGCCAATCATAGCCCATTGGTCTGGATAATTTCCTCAGGTCTTGCTTAAATGTTAAGTCCCTTTCACATGTGTTACCTTAGCATCCTGTGCTTCCTCTAGCACAAAGCACATCACATTTGTTTGTAATTACTTGTTTAATTGTCTGTCTTCCTCCTATGGGAATTTACCTTCCTATTAGAATTTAAGTCAGGGTCATGCCTGTTTACCTCTGTAGCTCTAGTACCTGGCACAGAGTGGATGTACAATAAATATACTGATAGAAGGATGAATGGATTGCTGCCCAACTATAAATATACTCAAACTCACTGAATTGTACCATTAAAACAGATGACTTTTATGTTATGCAAATTATAGCTCAATAAAGCTGTTTTTTGTTAAAGAAAGAATAGTACAATGAAGAACAGATAAAGGATACTCAATACATAAATACTCTTTGACTGGATTTCAGGTAGGACAAAATAGACCATCTATATTGTTCCCAAATGTCCACAGAAGTATTCACAATGAAAGAGATCACAACTAACATGACGGTCTTGCTCTCATACCCTTCCCATTTTCTCTCATGCAATAGGAAATAGCAAGAATCAGGGTTAGCAAGAATAGATACATGAAAGCAATCTTGAGAAAGAAAAATGGAGCTGGAGGAAGCAGGCTCCTGGACTTCAGACTATACTTCAAAGGTACAGTAATCAAGACAGTATGGTACTGGCACAAAAACAGAAATATAGATCAATGGAACAGGATAGAAAGCCTAGAGATAAACCCACACACTTATGGTCACCTTATCTTTGATAAAGGAGGCAAGAATAAGCAATGGAGAAAAGACAGTCTCTTCAATAAGTGGGGCTTGGAAAACTGGACAGGTACATGTAAAAGAATGAAATTAGAACACTCTCTAACACCATACACAAAAATAAACTCAAAATGGATTAAAGACCTAAATGTAAGGCCAGACACTATCAAACTCTTAGAGGAAAACATAGGCAGAACACTCTATGACATAAATCACAGTAAGATCCTTTTTGACCCATCTCCTAGAGAAATGCAAATAAAAACAAAAATAAACAAATGGGACCTAATAAAACTTCAAAGCTTTTGCACACCAAAGAATACCATAAACAAGGTGAAAAGACAACCCTCAGAATGGGAGAAAATATTTGCAAACGAAGCAACTGACAAAGGATTAATCTCCAAAATTTACAAGCAGCTCATGCAGCTCAATATCAAGAGAACAAACAACCCAATGCAAAAATGGGCAGAAGACCTAAATAGACATTTCTCCAAAGAAGATATACAGAGTGCCAACAAACACATGAAAGGATGATCAATATCACTAATCATTAGAGAAATGCAAATCAAAACTACAATGAGATATCATCTCACACCAGTCAGAATGGCCATCATCAAAACATCTACAAACAATAAATGCTGGAGAGGGTGTGGAGAAAAGGGAACACTCTTACACTGTTGGTGGGAGTGTAAACTGATACAGCCACTATGGAGAACAGTATGGAAGTTCCTTAGAAAACTAAAAATAGAACTACCATATGACCCAGCAATCCCACTACTAGACATATACCCTGAGAAAACCATAATTCAAATAGAGCCATGTACCACAATGTTCATTGCAGCACTATTTACAATAGCCAGGACATGGAAGCAACCTAAGTGTCCATCGATAGATGAATGGATAAAGAAGATGTGGCACATATATACAATGGAATATTACTCAGCCATTCAAAGAAACAAAATTGAGTTATTTGTAGTGAAGCGGATGGACCTAGAGTCTGTCATACAGAGTGAAGGAAGTCAGAAAGAGAAAAACAAATGCTGTATGCTAACACATAGATATGGAATCTAAAAAAAAAAAAAAAGGTTCTGAAGAACCTAGGGTCAGAACAGGAATAAAGACGCAGATGTAGAGAATGGACTTGAGGACACGGGGAGGGGAAAGGGGAAGGTGGGATGAAGTGAGAGAGTGACATGGACTTATATATACTACCAAATGTAAAATAGATAGCTGGTGGGAAGCAGCCACATAGCACAGGGAGATCACCTCGGTGCTTTGTGACCACCTAGAGGGGTGGGATAGGGAGGGTGGGAGGGAGAATCAACAGGGAGGAGATATGGAGATATATGTATATGTATAGCTGATTCACTTTGTTATAAAGCATAAACTAACACACCATCATAAAGCAATTATACTCCAATAAAGATGTTTTAAAAGATTAATAAAAAAATAATAGATACATGTATATGTATAACTGAATCACTTTGCTGTATACCTGAAACTAACACAACATTGTTGATGAACTATACTCCAATATAAAATTTTAAAAAGTTATTACAAGATAATGGATATATTTCCCTGAGCTGTATAATATATCTTTGTTGCTTATCTAAAAAAAAATAAAAATAAAAAAGAATCAGGGTTTGAGTGGACTGGGTAAAAATTCCCTCCTGGGTGAACAGGTGTGCCTGTGATCCATTGGGTCTTTTGTCCATCAGTGTGGCTCTCATGCTGTAAAGTTTATAACCACATAAATTAGAAGGTTAAGATTCTTGTTGCCAAGTCTGTACCTGATCTGCTTTGTGACTTATTTCAGTGCTCTAATTCGGTCCTGAGGGTCAGTGGGTCTGAAGCCACCCCTTTCTTTGTCACAGGTGATTCATTCCAAAACCTGTCTAGGTATCTGCCTATCATTCTGAAGCTTCTTAAACCTTAAGTTGGATCTAAATTCATTGAATGCTCACAGATATAAGAAGTCCAAAAAGACTGAAAAACTGTTGAAAAATATGTTCTGGCCACATTCCAAGGAGTGAGGATTAATGGTGATGGAGAGAGCCCTCTCTGGAAAACAGAGTCCTGGGAAAAGGATGAGTCAGTAAACATCAACCATTGCTTTCAGGGTTGGGCACTAATTCCCTACTAGCTGGCACTGGGCACCTCCAACAAAACTGCTAACTGAATGAGAACAACCCTTCAGGTTGTTTCTGGTGGATTTGGACAGGCTGAATGCACTTTATGTCACAGCCTAAGCTTTTAGGATGCCAAAAACCTGTATTCTTATTTAGGGTCTAAAAGTTCCAAAGAGCCTCTTGACTTCATCTCTTCACCATGCTGGCCTGATCTAATGTGTGAGCTCCTGAGAATCAAAACAGTCAGCTCCAGACTGCAAATGGAAGCAAAGCACATCAAGGGGAGGAGACTTACCCTAAACTCTTCCAAGCACTGCCTCCTTTCCTTGCTGGTGGTAAGACTGAGGGGTGGGGTCACCTTGAGAATGGACATTCAAGTTTGAGCCAAGATAACACCCAAAACTGAAGACCTTAAAGGAAAAGAGCTGTTACCCGTAACACCAGTATGCCCATGTGAGCAACAGCCAGTTGGATCTGCATCCCTTCACCATCACTGGCAGGGTGCGGCCTGATGCCGTACATGTCCAGCTTCCTCGCTATGTCCAGTAGCAAAATGTGAGATTCAGCTGGGCTCCTGCCACTGCAAGGGGAAAGAATTTATGAGCCTAATAAATCCAGCAAGAATGACGCCTAAAAAAAAAAGAATGACACCTCTACCCCGAGAGCTCGAAGGGGAACTCAGTGTTTTCTTCAGCCTGAAGTTTCTCTGACTTAAAGGCTTGCTTTTAAGAGTCTGTCCTCAGCTTCAGTCTTCCCTGCCAGCAGAACAGGCAGAAGCAGATGCCAGGGAAAGTACTTACATGTGCTGCTGATGGAAGTGCACGATCTTGCTCTCTAAATCGTCTTGGTTCGGTAAGTACCGGGTTTGTGCCAAATATTTCCTATCTGTTTCTTCATGAAAGTCTCCCAGTTCTGCTGCATGACAGTAAAGTGACATTTTTTACATTACCATTGATGAGTTAAGCAGTGGAGCACCCAGAAGACCCTCTGACCTCCCCCAAACAGCCCTTTCTTTGCAGCCAGTGCAGCCCTAGACCTCCTGAATATATGTATATTTGTTTCAGGATATGGGTGGTGGGGGAGGAACTAACTGGTTCTTCTTCAAATAAGAAGCAGTGGGTTGCTATGAAGTCACAGACACAGTGTAGGTCTTAAAGGCTCCAGGATCATAGATGAATATTTTCTTATTTTCTTCTCCCACATTCTGTTTATGATCTCTTCTACTTCTGATCAGTCCCTGTTATGAGTTGAACTGTGACCTCCCTCTCAAATTCATATATTGAAGTCCTAACCCCCAGTACCTCAGAATGTGACTGTGTTTAGAGACAAGGCCTATAAAGGAGTGATTGTTTTAAAAATGAGGCAGTAGAGTGGGCCCTAATCCAATCTGATTGGTATCCTTATAAGAAGAGGAAATTTGGACACCAGGCACCAGAAATGCAGGTACACAGAGGAAAGACTGGGTGAGGACTCATCAGGAAGGCAGCTATCTGCAAGCCAATGAGAGAGACCTCAGAAGAAACCAAACCTGCTGACACTTCAATCTTGGATGTCTAGCCTCCAGAAGTGTGAGAAAATAAATTTCTGTCCTTTAAGTCACCTAGTCTGTTGTATTTTGTTATGGTAGCCCTAGCAAACTAATTCAGTCCCCTAACCTCCCTCTGCCTTGATCAGGCATTATTAAGAAAGGAGAATACAAATGCCAACTCCAATGCAAGCCAGTCACAGCCATTCATCACTCTGTACATTGGGAATCTAGTAAAACCCTGCTATATGGAATCCCCAGTCAGTGAATAATTCTGGAAATTATTCTCACTTTTCCAAATCACTGGGAGTTTATCCCTGCTCATAATCTATTCTAGATGTATCCAATTTATTGTTATAAACATCTATTATAGCACTGTGCCTACAAAGGCAATTGAGGTATATAGGATTATCTGTCCCTACAGTAAATGGCTTGAAACTGTTTTGATTTTTGAATTCTTGTGTGCTCTTTATAATTATTATGCCTTTTCCCTCTCTGTCAGATTAATAGGAATCACTTCCTGGTCATTGACTTCCCCTGAAGAAGTCTCTACTTGGTTCCAAATTGTGACTTCTAATCTACCATAAAATGGGCACCCAAAACAATTTTTACAATTAAAATTCACATTTTAACATGAAAAAAGGGGAATGCAGATATCCAAACCTGTTAGCATTTTATGAATTATAAGAGTAAATAGACTCTCCATGGAATCATGTGGTGCTCTCCTATTGAGTAAAATTCATGGACATGGGGGCATCAGTTTTGAGTACTAGAAAGTTATTTTCTCTTTTGGCTTGGTTTTCTATTGTATTTTAGACAGATGGCATGCTCATTTTTAGATAGGTGAAGTGTATTTATATATTTCAAAACCACATTAGAATGAAAATCTTTATATAACAAGCTTTTTTAAAAAGACCAAATCAATGGCTCTTTTATCTATTTATTTTTTCCCCAAATTGATAAATGTACAAATCTCATTAAAACTTAATCAGGCCCACCCATATGGTTTCACTAGTTAATGCTATCAAATATTCAGATAAGATACAAATACCAATTTTTCACAAACTCTTCCAGAAAATAGAGTAAGGAACATTTACCAACTCGTTCATGAGGCCAGTATTACTCTGATACCAAAATCAGACACAGACATCACAAGAAAACTACAGATTAATATCTCTCATGAATACAGAGGCAAAAATCCTCAACAAAATACTAGTAAACTGAATCCAGCAACATATAAAAAAGAATTATACATCATGACCAAGTGGGATTTATCCCAGGAGTGCAAGATCAGTTCAACACGTGAAGGTTAATTAATGTAATGTGCTATGTTAATAGAATAAAGGACAAAAAATACATTATCATATCAATAGATGCAGAAAAAACATTGGGCAAAATCCAACACCAATTCATGGTAAAAACATTCAACAAACAAAAAATTGAAGGGAACTTCTTCAACCTGATAAAGTTGGAAAACCTACAGCTAACATCATAATAATACTAAATGGTGAGAAACTGAGTGCTTTCCCCTAAGACCAGGGACAAGACAGGGATGTCTGCTCTTGCCACTTCTATCCAACATTCTACTGGTGATTCTAGTCAGTCAGTCTATATATATATATATATATATATATATATATATATATATATATATATATATGAATCACTTGCTGTACACCTGAAACTAACACAACATTGTAAATCAACTATACTTCAATTTAAAAAAAAGAGCACACACACACACAAAGAAAATGAAAAGTCAAGCCACAGATTGGAAGAAAATTTCACAAATTATATATCTCATAAAGGATTTTTAATAAGAATATATAAAACTCTCTTAAAATTCGATAAGACAACCCATTTTAAAATTGGCAAAAATTTGAATACGCATTTTACCAAAGAAAACATGGGAACAGTTAATAAACAGATGAGAAGGTGCTCAACATCATTAGTCATTAGGAAAATGCTAATTATAATTGCAATGAGATTCATTGCACTAGAATGACCATAATCACAAAGATAGACAATACCAAATTTTAGTGAAGATGTGGAGAAATTGGAAACCTCATACATTTCTGGTTTTATTGTAACAATTTGGTGAACAGTTTGTCAGTTTCTTAAAATGTTAAACACAAATTTACCTTAAGACAAAACAATTACATTCCTGGAAATCTACAAAAGAGAGATGAAAACATGTGTCCACACAAAGACTTGTACATGAATATTCATAACATTATTCATAATAGCTAAACTGGAAACAATACAAATGTCCGTGGCCAAGTAAATAGATGAATAAAATGTGGTATACCCATAAAATGGAATACTACTCAGCAATAGAAAGGAACAAACTGCTGTGATTCATGTTACAACATGCATGAATTTCAAAAACATTGTGTTGAATGAAAAAAGCCAGATACAAAAGACCACATATTTTATCATTCCTATTACATGAAATGTCCAGAAAAGGCAAATCTATAGAAACAGAAATTAAATTAGTGGTTGAGTGACTGCCAATGGGCATGAGAGAGCTCTTTTGGCATGATGGAAATGTTTGAAAACTGGGTTGTGGTAATGGTTGCACAACTCTGTAAATTTACTAAAAACCATTGAGTTACAGACTTAAAATGAGTGAATTTTATGGTATGCACATTATACCACAGTAGAGCTGTTTTAAAAAATAAATTCACAAACACACACACACACACACACACACACACACCAATCTTTCTGTTTATTAAGCACAAGTATTAAGCACAAGACCTTACGTTGACCCTAAGGAAAACATAGAAACACATAAGACCATGCTTCTTTTTTCTCTCCATGCAGGACTATAATATAGGAAGAGACCTATGACATACAAATGAGTAAATATCATTAGTGATAGAAGGCAGCATGTGGTGTGAGCACCTTCACTGTTACCACGCTGGTCCAAACTACCATCATCTCTCTCTCTCCTGCTGTAGTCTGTTATCTTGTCTCCCCACTTCCACCATCCCTCATAAAGTCTACTTTCTCTCATTTTTAAAAATTGAATAAATTTGACATATAACATTGCAGCAATTTAAGGTGTACAGTATGTTACTTTGATACATTTATAGATTGCAATATGGTTGCCATTGTAGCAATATTTATCACGTTACATAATTATAGTACAATATTATTGTCTATATTTATTAAACTGTACATTAGATCACTATGGCTTATTTACTACTTGCTACAAATTTCTGTTTTCACCACAGCAGCCAACATGATGTAGTTAAAACCTAGTTCAGATCATTTCACTCCTCTGTTTCAAATGCTACAGTGGCTTCCCATCACATTTAGAGTAATGTCCTAGGTCTTTAATATGCTTTTAAGGCCCTCCATGATTACTGTCTCCCTCTCTCCCTCAGTTCCAGCCATCCACAAAGCCTGCTTAATGTTTCTTGAATACTCCCAGCATGCTCCTACCTCAGGCCCTTTGCACTGGATGTTCTCTGCCTGGAACTCCCTTCCACCAGATTTCTGCATAGCTTGGTCTTTTACCTCCTTCAAGTTTTGTTTAACTATCACCTTCACAGTGAAGCCTACCCTGACCACCTTATTTAAAAATTCAGTACCCACCCCCCGAATTTCCCTCTCTCCCTTCCATACTTTATTTTCTCCAGTGCAATTATCACCTTCAAACTTACATTATATATTTCCTTATTTTGGTCTGATTGTCCTCCACTGCCAAAATGTGAGCTCCACGAGAGCAAGGATCTTTTTATTTCACTGCTATGTTCCCAGTACCTGGCATGTGGTAGGTACTTAATAAAATTTGCTGAGCGAATGACAAAGAAGAGTTACTGTACTAAGGGCATTCATAAAAGGGAGGCTTCATTTGGAATGTACAAACTGTATTTGGGAGGAAGAGTCTGGCTAGAGCCAGAGGGGTGTGTAAGAGAGATTTAAGCAGATGAGGTCAGAATGTGGAGGTTCTTGAATGCCTAGAACATACATATTAGATGAATAAATAAATGAACAAACGAATGAGTATCCTGGCTGTGTTCTGCACACTGTCTTAGCAACGAGTGAAATAATCTTACCTGGATGGATTGTGAAGAGCTGACTCCTTGAAACTTTAGCTTTTTTTCTATGGAAAGAGCTTCTATTGACAAACAAAATATCCTCTAGAAAAGCTGAAGTGTTCTGTGCTATGCCTGAAATGGCCACTAGGGAATGCTCAAATCCATAATGTTGAACTATTAAGAATGAAATTGGGCTCCCCCATCAGAGGCTGTCTGGGGACCCCCAATCCTCTTAAACAGGCAGCTAACGGAGAAGGATAAGTCTTCCAATATTGTTTTCTCCACCTGCCTTACCCCATCTCCCAACCCCACCGCAAGAACAATTACTGGACATATAGTTAGTGTCCTTGGCATTCAAGGCCCTTCAAAATGATGCTTAGTTTTTTGCCACCTCTCCTAAACAGACCCTATGCTCGAGTTGTACTTGAGCTGCATCCTCTGTATATACTTCTTCTTGTACCATCACCTTTTTTTCTTTTCTGTTTTCTCTGCTTATCATTACATATCCAATTCCTATGCATCACTTTAAGGCCCAGCGCAAAAGCCATCTCCTCCATAAGCCTTCCCCGATAACTACTGGTCTCACTGCCTTCCTGAGATCCTGGGCTCTCATCCTGTCTCGCCTATGAGTCACTTGGTAAACACTGATTCATATACTGTCTCTATCCAAGCCCTTCATTCTGGAGTTCCCGGTGAAATCAGAAATCTACCATTTCTGGACTATCAGGAAGGCAATGGATAGAGGTCAAAAATGAACTTTTGAAACAAAAAAATGAAGTTATGATCCTTCAGGAACAGTAAGGAACAGCCTATTCTTGGACGGCCTCTCTAGAAGAGAGAGAAAGTCCAGCCAGCCCTAGAAGAAGAGATAATATTTCCAGCTGCCTTAATCCTGCCCTCGGGGATACAGGAGCAGCCTGAGTGCCCAGCTTCACCCCCTCCCAGGAAAGGCCCCACTGTTCCCCGGGCCTCTTTTCCCTGCCTACATTACTCAGCCTAGTCCAAGGACTTGGCTGCTAGGATATGGGGAACTCTAATAGACGCCTGGGGCCTTTTTCCCTTTTAGTCTCTCTCCACCTGCTGTACTCTGTGCTTTGTTCTCTGGAATCATGATAAAGAGCAACATGGGAATCACATTAAACGTGACAATGTGCTGCAGAAAGCACGTACCAGAAATGGATCCTGGGGCAAGCAGAGGGAGTGGGGGCCTGCCTAGCAAAGTCCATGCCCAGATTAGTCCAGACCAGCTCCTGGAGAGCAAGCCTGGGGCAGTGGGAGGCCAAGGTTAGACCGAGATAGAAGAAAATCAGCATTTACTTTTAATCTACATAACTGCTCTGTGAGAAGGCATTCTTGTCACTCTTTTAAAGACTAGGGAACTCAGGCAAAGACAGATGAGGGGACTTCACCCAAGGCTACAACAGTTAGAACGTACAAACAGGATTTGAATCCAAATCTCAATGACTACAGTAACCAGCCTCTTTCTACTGGACCCTGCCATTTCTATATATCTCATCCAGGCTTTCTCTCCTCTACAGAGAAGCGCTAACATGATGATAGGGATGTTGAGGGTGCTCAACCTCTTTGCTTGGTTCTCTAGCTGGCGGATAGGCCCGAAGCCGACATTTGATACTTACATTGTAAGATGTGAGATATCATCAACGCTGTACAGTTGTCACTGCATGGAAGCCTTCCCAGAGCCAAATCCTTCTTTATTTGAAGAGTAAAAAGATACCTGCAAAGAAGTGGGGGGAAATCTCTTGAGGAAGAAACAGGAACAAGAAAGAAGCATTTCCCTTCTCCCAGATCAAGATGTTTCAAGAAAGACACGGTGCCCCCAGTCAGGGAGATGCCTTTTGGGGGTGGTGAGTAATGCATAGGCTTTGCTTCGGCCCCTAACCAGCACTAGACCACAACTCGGCTGATCCAGCATTTCAGCAGGCCTCACAGCCATTAGGAATCACCCCGGCCAAATCCTCCCGCCAACTTGAGGGAGTTGGCCAACCATCCTCTGGTGATTTCTGCCACGTAGCAAAGCCACATACCCAGCCAGAGAGAAAGGGAGATTCAGCAAGAATAAGCCTACTCAGGAGGCCAGTACTGCTCTGTTTACAAAATGCTATCAAATACTCACTATCGTAACAACTTAGAAGGCTGGCATCATCACCACATGTTCCAATTACGGAAAGACAGAGGTTAGGCGATTTGGGCAGAGTCATATCACCCCAAGACAGTGAAACTGTGGCAAGACCTCAGGTCTGCCTCTCAATTCTAGGCTGCCTCCTATCCAAAAGACTGTGTTTCAGAAATCAAGAACTTGAGGCCGTGATTCTGCCCCTTCACCTGGACCACCGTTTCCATATCACCAGAGCCCAGCCTAGCCCTTTGCACAGAGCAGGTATGGGATTACTGTATATTGAATGGAATGAAGCCAGACTACCCTTTTTCCTACAGATAATCAGGGACCCATAAAGTACACATTGGTATCCAGAACTCTGCAAAACAGATGGCATTTGTCCCACACTTTTAAGCCCTTATCAAAGGCAATCAACTTTTGAAAAGATGTGTATAATTAAGATTCTACTGCCGACTATGTTCCCTCTTGGTTCAAAATTGGTTCCAAAGTTTTATTTTATATATTAAAACATTTACTATCTACTGTGGGCATTTCCCTAAATAAGATGTAATTTTCTGAATAAAGTTCTATCTAGATTTTTTTTAAACCAATTAAGACTTGACAGCAATGTGGTGAACCAGAATTAATTGCACGTGATAGATGAAAATGCAGACTGGGAAAAAACAGGTAAATTAGTAGGTGATTATTTAATTTACAAAGCCATTCATTATAATCCTTCAAATTGTGATCTCTCTTAATGGATTAGAAATGATTCATTAGAAAAGTTATATTTGCACACCACTCTGAGAAACTCATGTAGTGGCCTCAATCAAGGCATCCTTGTAAAGTCAACTACAGTTAAGTATTCTCAAATGGACCAATGGGGAAAAAATAAAGGAAGTCTAACCGTTGCCATTACCTGCTTTCAAATATAGATGTAAATGGGAATAATCAGCCTCAATTGCTAAAGGGGACGTGAATTTCATTTTACTCCTAGCAAGAAAGAAAGTAACCTTCTTGTCATTTGACACATTCCTTGCTGTTAAGAAGGCAGCTGCCTGCTGCAAATACCAAATCCTTCCTCTGAACAGCTGATGAATCATTTATCATCACATTGATTTTCTCATTCTTTTTTTTTTTCCCAGAGAAAGTTTATCTCCATCAAAA